TGAAGAAAACGGCGCCCTGCTGAAAGCACATCAAAGGCATTGATTAATGGCGGTTGCCCTTACGACAGCAATCATCTGAGCAAAGAACCAACATAAAACGTAATGCGGTAGAAAATGGAACTAACGATGAGACGTGGTAGTTTCGGAGGTTACCCACGAATTTGAACCTTAATCGCGAGAGTAATGGCTCAGTGGCGCCACTTTTCGAATGAAAGTGTTGTTGGTTGCCCTGTAAGGGAATCGTCGGGGCGGCGAGAGGCCGAGCCACTGGGCTTTTAAAATAAATTGCTCCTGCGCATCCGTAATATTGAATGCACTCTATTTAGCTCGCCAGCTAATTTTGCGGCCCAATCTATGCCACTTGGCATTATAATGATAATTCGATTACTAATTGTTTTAATTATTATTGTTTTCTGTTATTTTTATTTAGTTATTAATTTTAAATACGGTAATTTCTCTATTATACGAGTGGGTACTATAAAAAAAAATGGGTGCGTGTACTTATGTAGGCGCGTGAGAAGTTATCCTTCTTTGGCATCGTTTAAAATTAGTTATTAATTGCATGCAAATAATTAATTACAATAATAAAAAGTCTGGAAAAGGACACAGTCAATAAAGTTCAGTTTTAATTTGAAAAAATAAATATATAATCAAAATATTCAATTAAAATCGCTACTGGATATAATTTATTAGAACATATGTGATTTGCACTTGTATGAAACTCAAATACGTATTCCAAATATACAAACTAGAAACATGTGGATAAATATTATAAATATGAATACCTATAACTGTTACTTTATTACAAAAAATAAAGATGTGGTTTTTGGTTCTACTACACCAATGGTCAAGAGATGGCGCTGTAGGTTAATTTTTTGTGTTACAGTGATGCGCGCGCATCTTAAAATTTCACTCTCATCATTTTTTCATAACGCGCCTAAAGAAGTATAACTTCAAAAATTGTTTTGTAAATACCAATTCCGAACGAATGTTTTACATCACATCTGCGAGAAAACGGTACCTATACCTAATTTAAGTAATAAAGAAAACTGTTTTCTAATAACAAAATAACGCGCATTTTCAAATTTCGTCACGTGCGGGTGGTGAAAATTAGAGCTACATATTTTGTCTCTATTTTTTGTATGAAAGTGAATCAAAAGTATAGATTACGTAAAGAATACGCACAGGACCATGTATGAAAGCGTGCAGTAAAAAAAATTACCACACGCTCCGTTTTATGGCTCGTAATTTTGAACTTTCGAACAATGTATATAACCTTCGCCAACGCATTTTTTGAGCCAGTATGTTGAAAAAAATATTAAATCCCATCAGCATAGCTACAAACAAACATTATAGTACACTTTCCATCTTTTATTGTCTTCAATAAATACCCTAATTAAGATTTAAATGTCAGTGAGCGATTTGTTTATTACAACTGTAAGGTTTCAGAAGTACTTCGTATTTCAGCTGGCTAATGCCAAGGCGATATATTCTCAAAAGCGTAACCTATTTCGGTAAAGCAATATATTAATCGGTCGAACATTAAAATTTATCGACGCGAATTCATGCAAAATGGCGGTTGCCGTGTCAATTCGCTTAGTACCGACTCACTTTCATAACATCAATAACAATAATTTTCGTTTAAATCTATCATAGCTGATTGACGAAGTATGAATAAAGATTGCGTATGATGAAGTTTATTTAATGGGAGAATTTCGAGTTACTTTAAGCTTTTACAATTCATTAGATTAAAAAAAATATAAATTAAAAAAAATTAAAAAACCCGACTGCTAATATATTACTTCAAATAAACAGCCGGGACTTATTAGATATTCAAGAATGGATAAAAATTTTCAATAATGTGTCCCTAGACAATGCTACCCCACTCGATATATTTCATCAACTTATTTTTTTTAATTCGTCACTATATGGCGCTTAATTGTCCCCATATTGAATTTTGTTTACTATCATATCTTTAGTAGCACTCCCATGATTAAGACGAATCGATTGATGTATAAATCATCAAAATTGGTCCACGCGTTTGGTTTGTGTCACAAAGGAACATACAGACATATATAGACTGTTAAACACTATACCCTGTCTGCGCGTCGCGCTTCGCACTCTTACATTACGCAATCGGGTAAAAAGGTTCGAGATAAGAGAGCTTCGGAGCAAATGTACAAAGAGGCAAGAAAATATTTAATAAATATTTCCAGGTGCAGCTTTTCAAATTTGTATATGGCATCACTATTTTGAAAAGCAGATATAACGTTGTGCCTCGGTCTAAACTAAGCTTTAAGGTTGCGAGTTAACCCGACTTTGCATTATTTTGTGCAATTATTTTCTCTAATTACTTTAATTTAGCTGGCATTTTATGGCACTATACTACGGGCAGTGATTGGCAAGTGGAAATTTTATTAGCAACCAATCGTTGTTTATGATACAGAAGCCTGTTGAATTATTTAATTGCAGTACTGACTACGTCCAGAGTGAGACATAAAAGAATAAGATCAAGATCCGTATTTCGATTTGTACTTATTGACTATCAATTTGTCTACTATCAAAATTTACTCGACTTTTCAGCGCAATTGAGTAGTAATAAGTGAATATCCTTACTTTGTGCATATTTTAACGTTGTTCCTGTGAAGTATCAAAAGTAGTGAAAATACTAAGTAGATGATCTTAATAATATTGAATTATTTTCTCCTCCACACACGTATTCGTTAAATAAAACTAACTTATATACTTACCTATTTTCTAAATACCCCCTCTCTATCATTGTTCTAATAAACATTAAAATGTTATTTTCATCAAAGCATTAATCTAATTCGAGTTTATTATACATTCAACCTCTATCGCTAATGTACGTTTCTGTTGTCTTCTTAATATGGTCATTTGTTTTACATTAATGAAAGTATATTTTTTTCGTAATTTCTACACATATAAAGCCTACTCAATTTAGTCGTTAACTCATAAAATATCTCTGACTTAGTCACACAGTTATTTGTATTTTCTTTTGTTTATTGTGAAATTTAAACTGTTTTTAATGACCTGTCACGTCTTAGTGTTCATGTTATTCTCGCCGTACATCTATTGTCTGCAGGTATAACAAATAGGTCAGTGATTCCAATCAATCAAATTGAGTCACAAACTTCATTTGTCATACATACACAACAAAAGTCTTTGAAAGATCCTGTTCGTTATCAGATGGGTGTGCTTGCGCATCGTGTGAGGTTACATATATTGGCGTTTGACCAACTATCCATTTGCAGTATGGAAATAATTTGATAAGTTTATTTCTTTATTCAATTATTTTTTATTTTACTTACGTTTTTTTTCTTTACTTAAAAAAATATTATATATCGTCAAGAGCGACTGATGGATATGATGTTGAAACTACAATATGCTGAATAAAATTAATACAATGGGTTTTGTTTCAAAAATAAAATGAGTGTGCATCGTCTGTCGAGAGCACTTAATTTATTAATTAAGTGCGCTCAAGACCAACAGATACTATTAGTTCTTTTTGTTTGCCTGATTTAACATAAGAAGGAGATAGAAAGCCTCTCTGAGTTTGTTTCGCCGGTTCTTCTCAGAAAGGTCTCCCAATTTTGGAACCTGTGGTAGTTAGCGGTAGTTAGGGTGTCAGATAAATAAACTCAAAATTACAAAAAAGAATTTTAAATAAAGTACATTATTAACTAAATTAACTAATAAATTCATAAATAGACAATATGGATGATTGATGATCATGATTTTTAAAACTTTAAAAATCTTCCAATGAAATATCCGAACGCTCAATAAAAGCCTTTCGAAGGTAGCTCGACGAAGTAAATAAAAAGTCATTATTGTGACGATGTAGACCTGAAAAGGCTGAAACGTCAATAAATTAATAAAGTTCGTGCATTAACCAGTTAAAACTAGTTTTACTTAATTTATTACTTTTCACGCGAAAATATTGGCACATTCTAAGTTTATCTTTCAATGGCACAATCACGGTAATATTATTATTACCGTGGCACAATCCAATATAGGAGAATAAAATTTGGTATTTACTGAAATGTCATGAATAAAGCCTCTTTGCTTATTAACCTAACGGTCATAATAAAGTGTGAGAATTTACAGCATACATATATGATGTTAATTTCGTGTTCAAAAACTAAAAATTGATTACCATTAAATTAACCGGATTTTAATTCAATATACCGTGTAAACGGGCCGTGAATGTTAAAAAATACGAACTTATGTTTTTTTTATTAGGAAAGTTGAACACTGAAATATAAAAACAAATGTTTAAGTTCGTCGTAAGATGTACAAACAAACCGAAACGCGTAAAATACCACGAACAAAATTACGCCTTCACCAAAACATCTGCTTAAAACGCGCTAATAAGTGATATTAAAAAGGTTTAAAATGCGCTCCGTTGATTTTCGTTATTTTTCGGAACTTCAAATAATAAGTAACACAATTAAGTACCTTTTTTAAAATCACGTAAGCTTTTGCCGGGTCAATCCCACTTTTTTCGGAAAGCAATTATACAGTCTTGGTTTGCGAAGCCAGTTAGCCAACTTTGTATGATAGGTATGCCTTTTTTATTTTTACGCGAGGAGTTTGATAAGTTGTTAGCGCGTTGGGCTGTGATCGTTGAAGTTAAGCAAATTTCGTAGTGGTTGCTCATTGGATGGGTGATCGTAAATATACTATCTCGAGCTCCTCAGTGCTTCGGAAGGAATATCAAGCTATTGGTTCCAGCTGCATCTGCAGTTGCACCACCAATTGTTACAATGGGCTCGCGTGGTGGTGACCCAATCTCCCTCTTTGCCATACTTAGGGAAGGCCTGTGCCCCAAAAGTGGGGAAATTATAGGCTGATGATTATGATAATGAAATAATGTTTCTCTTCCTCCTCTAAACCTCTAATGTGTCAGACCTAAAGGCTCATAACAGTTTGATGGAATCATGTATGCATATATCTTAATCATGTTTCCTCTCTTTCTATAGGCCTCTTGTATGTCAAAACGGAGCGACCTGCACTAACACAGTCGGTGGCTTCTCGTGCATCTGCGTGAACGGCTGGACTGGCCCTGAGTGCTCCACAAACTTCGACGACTGCCTCGGAGCCGCCTGCTTCAATGGCGCCACGTGCATCGACCGGGTCGGGGCGTTCTACTGCAAGTGCACGCCTGGGAAGACCGGTAAGTTATAGTTTTGTATAAAGACATGATCATGGTCTTTTGACGAGATCCGTGAACGAGATGAATGTATGCCATGTCAATGGTTTCAAGATGTCGCCTATTCGTGCGGTCCTGAAGTCGAATCCCAGTGAGAAAGATGTTAGTATGATGAATACGAGCATTTGTGGCTAAGTCATGGGCGTTTATAAATATATTTCTATATAAAACCAACTTTAACGACTGCCTGGGATCCGCCTGCTTCAACGGCGCCATGTGCATCGACCGGGTCGGAGCGTTCTACTGCAAGTGCACGCCGGGGAAGACTGATAAGTTCTACTTTTGTATGAAGACATGATCATGGTCTATTGACGAGATCCGTGACCGAGATGAATGTATGCCATGCCAATGGTTTCAAGATGTCTACTGCAAGTGCACTCCTAGGAAGACTGGTAAATTCTACTTCTGTGTAATGAAAACATCATCATGATCTATTGGCCGTGGGGTGCCGGCATAGAATATTGCACCCCCCCATCTCTTCCCGTGGGTGTCGTAAAAGGCGGCTAAGGGATCACCAGGAGAACGGGCAGCGTTCTCCTGAGTAACATTAAATCTACTGCGATCGCCAACCCGCCTGCCAAGCGTGGCGATTATGGCAATAACCCCCCAATGAACAAAGGCATAGCGCAGGACCGCGCATTGTGGCGTTCTATGGCGGAGGCCTATGTCCAGCAGTGGACGGAGAAAGGTTGATGGATGAATCTATTGATGTTTTCACAGATCAGGTCTATGGCTTTCCAGTAGATAGATACAGATATTGTTAAAGGTGTTGAAATAATTTGATACACTTCAAATCTGGCAATATATTTATATTATTAAAAAATAACATAGATATAAGTCCTGGTAACAGTGCATCCTCCTTCTATTATCGCCTCTTAACCTAAGCATAATGTGCCTTCGTGCCTCCTTTAATTCTCTGTATCTTATTTGATAAAATTAATAATAAGACTATATTTTGCCCAAATCTCGTTTACTTCCACCACTGCGCCTCATACTTGCCGAGAGGCCCTACAAACAAAACTAATTTGACTTGCCTCCTAAAGTGGCCAAGAGCTCGCGCACTACTCTTTACTGAAGAGCTTTTGTTTTTTGTTGTTGTAATACAGAGTAGACCTAAATTTGGTATACTATATAGTAAGACGTAACTTATAAGAGATACTAATTCTATATAACCAATTCCAAGGAACAGTTACCTAATTGGAATATCTTGTGCAATATATTTTATTTGTTAATACATGTTTTTAGAATTATTAGTTGACAAACGACAATATGAAATTATTTAATATTTAACTCGTAAATAATTGTGTTTTGCCTAGACTGCAGAGGATGTCAAGCTTCATTCTGTCACCTGGATTAACCAGTTATTCTAGTATTGTTATAAAATATATTTAATCATTGGTATGGATTCTGGCATAATTCTTTAAACTTAAAACTATATTAAAAATCAGTCTATTTGTTTCTTAGGTTTTCACGCACATCACTCATTAAATAAAACTAGTTATTTACGGGTAAAGCCTGTAAAGGCTACGAAACGTCAATAAATAAATAAAGTTTCGTGCATTAACCCGTAAAAAACTAGTTTTATTTAATATCAGTCTCTCATTTTCGTTCTGCATAGAAAATGACAAGGATACACTGTTGTCAAATTAAAGTTTAGGTTTAGAGAATCCACGACGCCCACTGCTGAGCATAGGCCTCCTCCAGAGATCTCCCTCGGTGCTGAGCTGTCCAAAGTGGCTAGCAGTGATTAAATATTGGTTATCATCACTTAGGTCTGCTTTGTCACCTGGACGACGCTTGCACTTCGAACCCGTGCCACGCGGACGCCATCTGTGACACAAGCCCCATCAACGGATCCTACACCTGCTCCTGTGCGTCCGGATACAAGGGCCTGGATTGCTCCGAAGATATCAACGAATGCGAACAGGGTGAGTACAAAGTATTCGGGTGTATCTTTTGTATGAGATATACTAGGTCTTTGGATAAATAAATCAAAGCTTTAGATACAGTGATAAACTAAGCTTTCTCTTATTAACAGTAAAGCTAAATTGGGGCAGATAAGTTTGAAAGGGACCAATCGATCGGGCAGCCCATAGTTCTTCTTTGTATTATCTGGGATTTTCCCTCATTCCTAGAGTTTTCAATTTCATGTCAATACTCACATCTCAATTTTATTATTAATCGACAAAAATGACAATGTTTGTTAAAATATTTGTTAATTAATGGAATAAGCTATAATATGTATCGACACATGTATGAGAAAGACATGTATCTTTCCTTTGTTCCTAAAAGTGATTATTCCTAACCCCACACTGTGTTGAATTAATTAATTATAAATTCAAAATGAGCAGTAAAATGTGTAATTGTATGCAGACAGACAGTCGATCCTTTAAAGTGTAATCAATAACATTTTATGTTTTCCAATCAAATGTTTATTTGATTTGGTGTCTTCGGGAACTCATTCGCATCCCATTAACGATGTAGTCCATAAAGGTTCGTACTTGATCGGAATACGTTGAAAGTACTCACAGTAAACACTTTCAATATTACCAAAGCCATGTCGGCGTCCAACCAATGGGTTTTTTTACGATTTCGTGCTTAAAATTGTGACAATAATGTCCTATTATAATCGTATTCAAAAAGAGAACGAATAGTATAAAACTTATGTAGACGATGGACTGGTAACCTGCCAATGTTTTTCTAGCCTTTGATCAGGGTAAAAGCAAGAATGGTTTTCAGCGCCCTTTGGTCAACTATTTCAGTTTTTTTTTAATATTGTTTCTGCGTTTAGCTATTGTGCCCCTTTCTTACTGACCCCAGAGTGATCTCTTCTTTTCTTTACCTCAGGGCGAACACTATAAGTAGGCCCTGATAGACGTTAATGGTCAGCGGGTCCCATCAGACTCAACTAAAACAAAATTCTTAGTCCCCTCAAATCATAGGAATGTGTTAATTAAGAGTTGACAAAATAATGTGCATGAGTTTCAACGACACTTATGTACACTTACAGTACTTATTTTTTTGGTTACAACTTCGCTGGCGTTCTTAGAAAAAAACTCATCGAAATGCCTTAAAAATAAAACAATAATGTTATGGAAAATCATGACTAATTATTACAAGATCTTATAACAATTATTTAAGAATTTAAGTCAAACTTTTCAGCAAACTACAGGTTTTTCTTACGCTGATCAAATAGTTTTTACAACAGCTTCCTTTAAAGTAACAGTATCTGACACAAACATCCTTGCCGCGCAGGTTCTCCATGCGAGCACGACGGCATTTGTGTGAACACCCCTGGTTCCTTCGCCTGCAACTGTTCCGTTGGGTTCACGGGTCCTCGCTGCGAGACCAACGTGAACGAGTGCGAGAGCCACCCCTGCCGGAACGACGGCTCGTGCTTGGACGACCCTGGCACCTTCCGATGTGTCTGCATGCCTGGTAAGTCTTCTTTAAAATCATCATCAGTTAGTAGCTACTACATCCTCACGACAACGGTTAACTACACACATCAAAAGTGTCTAGGGATCAACATATATTTTTGCAATAACTTTTCTCCTGATTGATATTAATTAAAATTTTCTTTAAGGATTCATCAAATAAAGTGTTTTCGTTTGTCACAGTAACGATAAACCAAGTCACCTTTGCATTAATAAAGAAATTTGCCATTTTCCTAATAAAGGGATTTTTGACATTTGAACCACTAACACAAAAGTTCGAAAAAAAGACTGAAATAACAGTTTTCTCTAAAATTTTATTGGGTAACTTAAACAATTAATAATCCGTATTTCTACCGCGAACACTAACAACACAAGAACATCGGTTTGGCATACTCAAAATGAGTTCATCCAAATCACGCTGTGGAATGGCCGCCCATGTTCGTTGCAACAACAAAAAAAGGTCTTCTTGCGACTGGATACCCTCCATATTCGGCAGAGCTCTTCTCTGTAGCATATCCCATGCATGCTCAATCGGGTTCAAGTCTGGCGACTGAGCAGGCCAGGGCAGGACATTGATGTTAGCTGCGGCGAGAGTCTGTCTTACAACTCTTGCGGTGTGCGGTCGTGCATTATCATGCATTAACTGAAATAAGGGACCGATTTGCACTTGTAGAGGAACGATGACGTCTGATACAATCGTCTCAGCATAAATTTGAGCGTTGAGGTTGCCTCTGATCCAAATCAACTCAGTTCTTCCGCCGATCCAAATACCCGCCCATACCATGATGGTTCCACCACTATAAGGATGGACTTCCTGGCAGGATTTTAATCGCTGTTGGCGTCCAGGGGTTCTCCAGTGTCGTATACGTCTTGTATCCGGTCTCATACCAAAACGAGACTCATCAGAAAAGCACACGAAACGCCATTGTTCTTCTGCCCAATTTCTGTGTTCAAGAGCCCATTGATATCGAATCCTACGATTGTGCATTGCTATAGGTGGTACCCGTAGCGGTCTTCGGGAATGAAGGTTCACTTCATGCAAGCGGTTTCTGACTGTTTGGTCGCTAATTAAGTTCCCTGAAGAGTGATGAAGCCTCACGGCTAACATCATGGCGGTTATTGTTGGAGCTCTTCGAGTTAAGATTTGAATGTATCGGTCTTGTCTCCGTGTGGTGCAGCGATACCGTCCTCCATGGCGCTCAGCCACGGTACCAGTGCTTCGGTATCGTGTCCAAAGTCGACTGATAACACTCTGACTTGTATTCAGAGCTAAAGCCACAGTACGTTGCCGGGAACCAGCTTCTATCATTCCCACGGCTCTGAGCATTTCTTCCCTGCTTAAATGACGTCGCCGCTCCATAATAACGTTGGTTTTAATCAGTAGTAGGGAAACAGTAGCACTAATAATGTCTTCAATGCGTTGTATGTTTTTATAGGGAAAATATTGACAGCTGATTTTCATCTTTTACTCGAATTGGATTCACAGTTCCTGATTCAAATTATGAAATGCACCAAAAAGGATCCATATAAATTTATAAAATCATAAATTTATTACAAAGCCACATCTCAATCTCAAGAAATCCGCATAAAAATGCTTGATCCCTAGACACTTTTGATGTGTGTAGATCCGAGGTCCGAGTCTCAGAGACGCCCTCTAGTTGAGCCGACCCCCTCAGGTTCAAATGGCCTAGTGGCTCCAGACGGAGAGGAAACTTCCCCCGTGGGGTAATGCCATCAACCGGGAATACTTCTAGTGGCACTCGCGAATTCTCGGCTTGAGGTCCCCTTAAGATGTCGTCGTTCCCAAACCCGGTGACGCTGTTAAGGTCACCTGCGACCAACAGCATACACACTCAAAAAAAGGTCACGTATTTTTTCTTTATTCACATAATCAAAACATTATAAGAGATATATTGATTTAAAATTTCGCAGGACGTCACGTCTTGGTACAATTTTTCTTAGAAGTGACGTCACGAGCTCCCAAACTTTGAATCGTTTTATCTTTATAATAAAAATAATAATCTTTATTCTTTTCTTCCATAATTTACAAATCACATGACAACTTAATAGAATACAATTTTATAAAAGAACAGTAAAAAAGATTGTGAGAGACTGGTGCCTGTATCTCAGAGCACCAATAAATTTGTCGTTTCCTCGTTAATTTTAAAAAGAAAAAAATAGGTTCCATTATTTTGTGATTGTAGCTGACGTACTTAATAGAATCATCCCTATAAGATAAATACCTAATGCTGCAATTACACTTGGTCGTTAGCCCGAATACGAGTGCCAATGGAATTTGGGTAAACGTAGAGTACGCCCGTATTATACCCGACACTGTCTTCCAGTGTAAATATAGTTCGAGTGTCCGAATTCGAGTAATCTCTTGTGCACATAAGGTTACCATTTAGGAATTTCAAAAGTCCTGACAAAAATCCTGACATTTCAAAAAAAATCCGGACTTTTTAGTCACAAAATGTTACCATTACTCACTTAGTTACAATGGTAAGTTGTTTAAATCAATATGTCCTTTTACTATTCATATTCAATGTATTTTTTTAAATTATATTATCCAGACAACTTAAAGATCCAGACCAAGTCCGAACTATAATCTAATAGTCTGGACATGTCCGGACAAATCCGGGCCAAATGTAATTGCGGCATAAGATACAAATTTTTCAAATTCAACTGTAGCAAAGTACTTATCTACGGGCATAGCAAATTGCATTCCTTTTTTGTTGGCACTACTGTTACAGTCGTAATCATGTCAACCATACGTAAGGCATTTTTTCTGCCAGTTCTGATTCCCATGGTGTCTGCATGCATCGGCGCGCTTGCGCAGCGTAGGTATTGTCTCGGATGCGGAAGCATGTGCTTTGCCGCCTTCTGTCTTGCGCCAGCGCACGTGATAAGCAAAACTTGTGCGTCTTATTGTTTCTTCATAATTGTAAAATTCGATGGTTATATTCTTTAATTAATCCAGTAAATTTATATTGATACTAGCTGACCCAGCGAAATTCGTACCGCCATAAAAAAATAGGGGTTGGTGGTAGAAGAGTGAAAATTTAGGGCTGTATGTATTTTTGTATGATGTATCATAAAAAAAAAAAATCTAAATTGAAAAAAAAAAATTAGGTGTGGATTACCCTTAACATTTAGGGGGATGAAAAATAGATGTCCGATTCTCAGACCTACCCAATATACACACAAAATTTCATGAGAATCGGGAAAGCCGTTTCGGAGGAGTTTAACCACAAACACCGCGACACGAGAATTTTATATATTAGATATGCTGATAAACCATTTTCATCTTTGTATTTAACATTTCAAATTTAACATTGCAACATTTAGACGGCATAAAATAATTTATACATTATTTCTGAGGTAGATTATTATTAATACTAAGTACTATTTAATAAATTATCCCTTGTGAGACTATTACTATGTTCTAGCTAAGTTTATGTGAGAAAATATCTCAATCCCTCTAGTAAAAAGACGAGATAAAAATATAAACATGAAAACTTGTCCTTATAACGGACAAAACAACGATATCGAGTGCACTAAAGATGTCAACGACGGTGCAATGGTGCGGACGAAACCACTCGACGGAACGCTCCTTGTTCAAACTCATTACTACTCGACCGAATGAGAATACACTATCCGTCCTTCCAATGTAAATTAATCAGGCAACTATTAAATTTCACCGAGTTGTACCCAACCTGACGTATCACTCATGAACCCGGCGGAGTTCGACACGCCCCGAGTTCGTATGAAACGCGACTCTTTTTGCGGTTGTTCGTTTTTGGTTGGGTAATATCTTACGCATGAGTGGCTACAAGACCTGTCTGGTGGGTAGACGAATAAGGGCATGTGCGGAGCATTGAGCATGACGCCATTACCTTTTTCTAAAGGGATAAAATGTGTCCCCTTAGGACTTTGCACTTAAGTTCTTACGTTAACTGTGGACTAGCGGCATTTCTTGTTAACTTCACTTAAATAGAGTCCTGTGACTTAAGCTCTGTACTTTTATAAAAATGTAATGACTGATCATAAGAATTACCTTCACTTTATTCGCACTCTCAACTTGTGTGTTTGTTATTTCCATTTAAGTAAAACCCAAGTAATGAGCAATTTTACTGGATTTCTGATGTTCAAGATTTGATTTCCGTCAGATTCAAGGAACATAGAGAAGTGCTTATCTATCGAACTCAACTCATGTTTTCAGTTTTTAATGTCATCTTCCAATTGACGACTCTGTATGAAACAAAACAGGGAGAAAAAAATAGTCCTTGCTGAGTTTCTTGCCGGTTCTTCTCAGTATTAGGTCTCCTGCCGTAGATTTACAAATCGATGGCATAGCGTTTGACTTTCACAAGCGCTTGTAACAGCCTAAACTGAATAAATAAGTTTGAATTTGTATTTGCAATTAGCTTGAATAATAACGCAAAATTATAACAGTTATACCATATCTTCATGTCTCACTTTGTCTAAAATACTACTTATTCTACTTTACTTAGGTACTTTGCAATCAGGGTAGTGAAATACATATTTTTTGTGATTTCCTATCATCATCAGCCTATTAATGTCGAAGACGAAGACGATATATTTGATGACCTCCGTGACCGAGTGGTTTGTACGCCGGGTTTCATGGTGTCGCCGACCCGAGAGGTCCCGGGTTCGAGTCCCGATGGGGGCAGATGTTTGTGTGATGAATACGAACATTTGTACTCCAGTCATGGATGTTTAATATGTATTTCTATATATTATATATGTACAGTATATGTTTTCTATCTGTTACACTAGCATCCCATAACACAAGCCTTACTATGGGACTAGGCTAATTGGTGTGAGTGTTGGAAATATTTATTAATATTATATTGTTTATTATATTCCGTAACACTGGATTGAGTCAGTGAGTCAAGTGAGTGCAGGTACCATGCAATGCGTCCGTCATAATTTTATTGTCCCACGCAAGTGTAACAACCACCTCCTGTCCTCATAATA